TGCCTAGCATTAGGCATCCTGCTCTATGACACCTGGTTTCTGTCTCCCTCACATCTCTTTCTTGTAGCTGGCTCCTCCAAGCACAGTCACTACCAGCTCTGCCATCCTGGACCATAAAGAACATTTTCTATGTCCCCACATTTACCCATACTCCCCTGTCTGTCTCCCTCTGGAATGGGCAAGGAAGCTTTCCTGCTGCAAGTCACATCTTTCCTACCACTTCCAATGCTTTTTCCTGTTATCTATCTATCATCTTAGTTTTTTTTTTTTTGCCAGTCCTGGGGCTTAAACTCAGGGCCTGGGCACTGTCCTTGAGTTTCTTTTGTTGCATTGCACCTACCACTTGAGCCACAGTACCACTTCTGGCTTTTCCTGTGTATGTGGTACTGAGGAATTGAACCTAGGGCTTCATGCATGCTAGGCAAGCACTCTACCACTAAACTACATTCCCAGTCCTCATCTTAGTTTTTTTTTTTTAATCTTGGTATATAATCTAGGTTGGACTTGAACTCAGGATGCTCCTACCTTCACCCTCAGCCCATTAATTTTTATGACTCAACGACTGCAGAAAACAAATACAAAAGAAACGCTGAATTTGCTCATTGCATATTTTCATTTTTATTTAAATAAGTCAAGTAAGGCCACTAGGCATGGGTTTCACATTCTATTCCACAAAGTAGACCCCAAGAGCTGAGGGGCCACCAGCTCTCTGAAAGGGCGGTCCTGGCATTTCTAGGAGATGGACAGAGGATTGTCTGTGGCCATGGTTAGGGCATCTGGGACAGCAAGGGCAAGGGGCAGGGAGGAACGCAGGGCAGCACCAGAGGCAGTGCAGAGCGCCCAACGCACACTGTGATGACAGGTACACATAGTACGACTGTGGAAGGCATGTCCTGTGCCTGTGGCCATAAGGCATGATGTAGGAACCAGGTCTTGGTAAAAAGAACATCTGTAGGGAGCAGGAGGGAGCAAGGCCAAACGGGGCTAGAATATACAGTACAGAGTGTCTAGTTCATATCCAGGCTAGAAGGAAGTGGGGAAGCTTCTTCCTGCCAAAGGACATTTGGATATTGATAATGTCACTCAAAGGTCATATAAGGTGATCAGTTTAGGCAGAGAGCTGCCAGCAGCCAATAAGAAGCATCGGAGAAGCATATTTGCCTTTTCTTTCAGGTACCAAATGATTTCTTGGACCTTATATGGCCCACAGATCAAATGTTCCCCACCCTGGGCTGTGAGGATGGCGCCATGCCTGTATTATGGGAAACATGTAAGGTAATGGGTGCTAAAGGACACAAGGTTACAGGACCTGGAGCTCTTGGGACATTGGAAGTTCTGCTTCAAGCTTCTGAGTAACTGCAGGCAGTATAGCTGCATTCAGGAAACCCTGGCTTCTTTCCTCCCATCCAGCTGGACCATGTCCCCTGATCCTCACAGACAAACCTACTGGCTTGGGATCTTGATTTTAAGCCATGTTTCTTCCCCTGGTTTTACTGATCAGCAAGACCCATTTAACTTTCACAGGTACCTCTTCCCCTTGGAGACCTGCCCTCATTGTCAGCCTTTGGGGGGGGGGGAGGGTGGGAGGGGACTGGCCTTGGGGACACAGGCTCGTAGGTTTTCTCCTTCTCCAAAGTCTAAGGCCTCTAAGGGACAGGTCCTATAGCCAACTATAACAAGCTCTTGTATGGGAGAGGACTGAATTGGGATCAAACCTGATGCTTCTCTTCTTGCTACCGCCAGGCCAGGTCCCTCCTCTGGGATGAGCCTAGGACATCCTCTTGGGGCTCCTTCCACTGCTGGACTGACAGTAGAGATGGTAGGAAAGAATGCCATTGCGACAGGCTGGTGGGCACTCTTGACTCTTTGGGGTGCAGTCAGCAGCTGCCCTGTTCCAGAAACTGGGACCATCTTTATCCTAGCTCCATGCTGAAAACCCCAAATGCACAATCCTAACCATACCCACAAAGTGGAAAGCCAGCCATCACCCCCATACTGTCCCTCCTCAGACCCACAGACTGCTGAGGTACTGCCCAGTGCCAGGCGGATAGGGTTCAAAGTCACTCACTGAATCTGCCCTGTAGCACACACTGGTGACCCAGAGCAAACTTTGTATAGCATCTTCAGGTCAACAAGAGAGAAGCTGGGGACCCTCCTTACACAGAACAACCCTGGGGCTTCTGTGGGCTGGGGCTGCTTGTCCCCTTCTTGCTTCGGGATCAGTCCTCTTCTGGTGTCTGGAACAGAAGGCATATGAATGGTTCCCTTGTATTATTGAATCAAATGTCTTGATTCTAGGTATAATTTTGAATCCCTGCAAACAATACTCTCTATCTCTTCTTCTCACAGAATAAATAAATAAAGTCAATTTGCAGTGTGCACGTTGTCCTGAGAAGTCCCAAAGGCCCATGCTTGATATTGTCCTTAGAGAGCTGAGAGATGGAGGCCACTGCCCCAGAGGTAGGGAGGAAGGAAAAAGCGCTGTCTCCCTAGGGGGTGCCCCATGGAATGGCATAAAGGTGGTTGTCCCCAACCCAGCCCCTCCTCACCCCACATGGGAAAGAGAGCAGTAGGCGAGGTGGGGGTTGAGAGGGGCTAGCACTCCTAGGCCTACCTGAAACATTGTCGCCCCAGTTAAGTTTCCAGACATGGAGTCTATTTGGACACCAGCTCCCTGCCCAACCTGTTCTCAGAATGCCAAACTTAGAGCAGAGGCCTGCTGGAGTGGCTGTAGTCCCAGTGCTGGGGACCCAGTAGCTTAAGCAGGCAGATCAGAAGGAAGACTGCTGGTTAGCATCTTCATCTTTCTAAACAGCAGCTTCCTGCCAACACACCACCCTCCCCCACAGCCCCATTGCCCTCCCAGGCTGCACTCCCAGGTATGCTTATGGTTGCTTATGGCTGAGATGACAATTCAGCCCTACAGCACCAACAGTGCCTACAGTAGCAGAGGCCAGGAGAACAGAAACAAAGTGGGGCCATCCAGCCATCTGCCACAGCTTTCAGCAAACTCTAAGTCTGGACCAAGTTCTATTGTTGGGCTTGTGGGGTGGGAGTGGGAAAGGGCTTCCACTCTGGGCTCACTTGATGCTTGGTCACAAGGTCCCTAGCTCCCCAGACTATATGTTCTAACCTCTTCTGTGGGACTGGTGTGGACTGCTCAGCAAGAATGCTGGTGGTCTCTGGGAGTCACTGTACATGGATTTCACACAGGACAGAAAGCAAAGCCCAGTGGCATGGCCAACTAGGCCCTAAATCCTCTTGAGAAAGGCTCCCTGCTGGCCTCCCTAGCACCCTCACCTTACTCCAGGCCCTCAAGCCCTGGTTTTTCTGAGGTGAGTTCCTGTAGTCATTATATCTAAAACACAGCCACCAAACAAGAACATCACCAGGCCATAAACAATTTCCAAACTCCTAAATAAAACAGCCTGCCCATCCAGGGTTGAGCAGTACTTTCTAGAACCCTAAACTCTAGATCCTAGTAACCATAGTTAGCACACTGGCTGACCTCTGTCCATCAGGAGGGAGGAGGCAAGGCTGCTAGGAGAGGGGTGTGACCCTATGTGCTTTTAAATACAGACAAGCTCCCTGGGAGGCAGAATAGGGTACTGAACTATCAGATTGCAGCTCCATTTGGGCTGGAGATATGTGAGGGTTGGACACATCATCTCAAAATATCCTGCCTGCCAGCTCTAGGATGAAGCTGGTCAGAAGAGGTAGCCATGAGAATCCCAACTCCGGCCAGGGAAGGCACTGTTTTAGAATATGTCCCTGCTTCTCTGAAGAACCCTGAAAATGTAAATAAAGGCTCTTCTTTTTAGATATGTGATATGGAAAACCTCATGGGCATACAATCATGGGGAGCTATTCTGTGGAAATGATTGTGGAGTTGTGATTTGTGTTTTCAAGGTGCTTTTCTATCTGTGGGGCATGAATTTTTGTTGCTGTTGTTGGTTTTTTATGTTTTGTTTTATGCAGGTCCTGGGGCTTGAACTCAAGAGCCTTGGCCCTGTCCCTTAGCTTTTTCACTCAAGGCTAGTGTTTTACCACTTGAGCCACAGCTCCACTTCTAGCTTTTTGGTGGTTAACTGGAGATAAGTCTCTCAGACTTTTCTGCCCAAGGTGCGATCCTCAGATCTCAGCCTCCAGAGTAGCTAGGATTACAGAGAAGAGCCACAGGCACCTGGCACAGATATGGTTTTGTTTGTTTTGTGGTGCTGGGGATAAAAACCCGGGTCTTGAGCATGCTAGGCAAGAGCTCTACTACTAAGCCACATCTGTATATCTTTCTACACACGTGTGCTCTGTTCTACACTGGCAATATTCCTCAGCCACCAGTGCACTGTCAATTTATTAAAACATGAATCATTTTGTGCTGGTTGGAAAACAGCCATTGTCACCTACCCACTGGGTATCAAATGCGACCTCCTCACTCTGAGCTGCCCTATTCTCTCCCCAAGGACCCTCCCAGATTGCAGGGGCCGCTATATTACAGGGAGGAAACGAAAAGGTTAACACTGAATCTGGCAGGAGGTCTGCATGTCTGGTCTGGGCCTCCACCCCTTCGGGCTGTTAAATACTTGGACTCTGGCCCAGTTACCCTTCAGACCTCCTTCCTGTGTATTTCATGTGTATTCCTGAGAGGGGAGAGAAGAGAGAGGAAGGGAGGGAGAGATAGAGAAAAAGAGAGAGGAAGAGGGAAGGAAGGAGAGAGATAGGGGGAGGAGGGAGGAAGGGAGGAACAGAGGGAGAGGGAGAAGGAGACAGAGGGGAGGTGGGGGGAGGGCAGGAGGATTGCCAATAGGCCTTGGTTTGCTGGGGCTGCTTAGGAAACTGTAGCTCCTCTAGGAGATTGGGCACTGTCCTGATTTCAGAGGAGCCCCAGGGCCACAGCAGCGCTGGGGAAGCTGGCTGGCTGGCTGGGGGCCTATGACTACAGGCATGGCACAGTTTCCCATTGCTCAATGCCAAAGCTGCATCTCACCAGCAGCCTGGGTGTGAGAAAGGCCGGCCAGGCCTTCCATTAGGGGTGTGTGTGGGGGGGGGTGTCCATGGTGACCCAGGCCCTCTACGTGACCCAGAAGGTGCCCCGCTCCTCCAGAAGGCTGATGGAGCGGTTGGTGAGGGAGGCGGCATCCTTGGCCAGTTTGTAGCCAAAGAGGCGCATGGCGGGGCTGCAGGCGGCCTGCACCACCTGGGCCAGCTTGAAGGGCATGCTGAAGCGCCACTTCTCGAATTGCTCCGAGGAGTTCTTCTGCGTGGAATAGACGTCGCTGCTGTCGCGGGCCGCCTGGGTGTTCTTCTGGATCCAGTCCTCCACCTGCGGGGTCAGGGGGATGCCTGCGAAGCGGTACATCTCCCGCGCCTTCTGCAGAGGCCGGCGCGCCACGTCCTCGTAGCGCACCAGCATGTAGCGGCCGCGCAGCCAGGCGGGTTGCTGCAGTCCCAGCTCGGCGGACAGCCGGATGCTCTCACAGTTGCCCCGCAGCCGTTGCACCTCGTCTTCTCGCAGCCGATCATCCTGCCCGTCGGTGAGCCACTTCTTCCAGGTCTCATACTTGCCTGCAAAGGCCACTATGCGTGAGGCCAGCACGGCCCGGGGGTCACGCACCAACTGGATGATGCGCAGGTCCAGCCTGGGGTCCTCGGCCAGAGGCTGCAGGAATTCCAGCTGTCGGATGCGCACAGCCTTGAGGGCCATGTGCTCCTTGCGGCGACACGCCTCGGCGGCCAGCGTGACATTCAGGGGCCCGCAGCGCCGGTTCTTGCAGTGATACTTCTCGAAGACCTTCTTGACGAAGGGTGTGCACACGGGGTCCTCGCACAGGGACCGGCTGGAGCCCCGGCGGAACATAAACTGGGTCAGGTGGTCCTCGGGCAGGGGGCTGATGAAGTGCTCCAGCACGTACAGGTCGCACAGGAACAGCTGTTTGAGCACATCGCGGTACACCAGCGCCGAGCCCGCCGCGCTGGCACCGCCCGGCTCGAAGGACACCGTGCGTTCGATGTGCCACAGCGGCTCGAAGAGGTAGAAAATGTTGCCCTGCTGATTAAAGAACTCGCCCACAAATGAGGAGCCCGTGCGGGTGGAGGCCATGAGGAGCACGTGGCGTCGATTCCCAGCCCTGGCAGACGGGGACCGCTCCTCCTCCTCCTCCTCTTCCTCTTCTTTCTCCCCTGTGGCCTCCTCTTCGGCTGGCTCCACACCCAGCTGCAGGCTGAGGTTGTGCAGGCGGCTCCGCAGCTGGGCGAAGGCGGAATCCAGCTCGCTCAGTGACAGCAGGGATGCGTTCTCAGCCAAGGTCAGGGCTGGGTCGGTGCTGTTGGCATCTGCCAGGGCTTGGGGGATCTGCTTCAGTGTGTTCGCAACCCTGTGGAGGACCAAAAAGAGACCAGTACTGATTGGAGGACCATCAAAGCAAAGTCTTCCGGGCTGATCACTCAGAGGCTGCCCTAGCTGGTTCTCCCTGGAAGCTGACTGCAGCTGGGTTTTGAGTGCAAGCAGTTGATTTGGGACCCTGACAGCAGGAAGGATGGGGTAGGGAGGTAGGCAGGGGAGGAAAAGTAATCCATAAGGGCAGCTATTAAAGAGCAGGTCACCTCCGTGGTCACAAGAGGCTCAGGCTCACTAGGGGACCCAGAGACACATGCTCCCTGATACTTCTGGCTTGCCAGTGTGCAGGTGTGAGATGAGCCTTTGTAGCAGATAAGGAATACCAACAGGCCTACTCCTCAGCTGGGGCCTTAACCTACCAACCTTGGTTGAGGCTTCCAGGCAGGGTTTGTGCCTGGGAAGACAAGTCTAAGAAAACTTTCTGTGCCAGGCACTGGTGGCTCATGCCTATGATCCTAGCTAGTCAGGAGGCTAAGATCTGAGAATCACAGTTCAAAGCCAGCCTAGGCAGGAAAGTCCATAAGACTCTTATCTCCAGTTACTCACCAGAAAACTACAAGTGGAGCTGTGGCTCAAAGTGGTAGGACACTACCCTTGAGTGAAAAAGCTCAGGGACAGCACTTAGGCCCTGAGTTCAAGCCCCATGATTGACAAAAAAAAAAAAAAAAAGCCAACCTGGGCAGGCAAATCTAAGAGACTCTTATCTTCAGTTAACCAGCAAAAAGTTGGAAGTGGAGATGTGGCTCAAGTAAAAGAGAATCAGCCTTTCAGGGGGGTGGGGGGAAACAGAGTGGGAGACCCTGAGAAGAAACAGAAAAGGAGGAAACAAAACAAAACACTGTATCTAGCAGGCTCACTACATGATGTATGTTGCCAACTCAAAAGGTGTGTGGACATTCCTAGAGTAGCTGGAGGGATATTCCCTAAACTGAGCAATACACAACCTGAGTAGCTGCCCCTGGCAGCCTCACTCACCAGAGACTCTCTTCCATGGCCTTCCCTTCCCTAGGGCTCCCCCTCACTCATGACATCCAGATATGTGATGGGAGCTGTCATAAAGCCAGAAAGTAATGAAATGATTCACAGTCACAGTCAGCAAATACTAGTCATCAACTAAGAACTAGGCTCTGGGCTAAATGTTTTGGTTTTATTTTTATATAATTATTTTCTCATTTAATCATTCCAACAAGGCTGGTCCCAGACATCTGTCACATGTTACAGAAGAGGAACCAAAGACTCAGGAAAGTGATGTCTCTTGCCTAAGTTTTCCTAGCAGGGAGGTGCCACTGAGACTGCCTGAGACTGGAGCTAGAGTCTCACTACTGGAGACATGAGAGGTGTACAGGAACACTGGCTTGAGACACAGGAGGGACGTGGTATCCAAGTGTTGAAGGGATGTACTTGCTAGTCGACAGAGATGTCTGCAGTCACTTGTCTTTTTTTGGGGGGGTGAGAGGTGTCAGTCATGGGGCTTGAACTCGGGGCCTGGGTGCTGTCCTTGAGCTTTTTTGCTTAAGACTAGCACTCTACCACTTTGAGTCACACATCACTTCTGATTTTCTGGTAGTTAACTGGAGGTAAGAGTTTCATGGACTTTCCTTCCCAGGCTGGCTTTGAACCACGATCCTCACATCTCAGCCTCCAGAGTAGCGAGGATTACAGGTGTGCATCACCAGCATCCAGCTTGCAGTCTCATCTGTTCCCCCTGAGGGAGACTCACCTCGATATGATTTTATTTTCCTTTTCAATGAAGACAAAAACTATCACCACAAATGCCAAAAACAGAGCATATTTGCTCCTCATCCTCAGACCGTGCAGGAAGTCCCGGCAGTCCTGGGGCAAAGTGAAACTTTTCTCCATGGGGAAAGAGGGAGTCATGGGGCTCTTTGGGCCACGGGCACTCAGCTTAGGGGCATCACTCAGGATCTTGCTTGTGGTCTTCAGGTGGGAGACACCCTTGTCCTGTGGAGAGACAGGCAGTCAGGGCACCCTTGTCTGTGGATAGAAAACACTAGATGCCCCCTAGACTTCTGAAGATCCAAGCCAACTCTTAGTAGTCAGATTCACAGATCTCAAGACAGACTGTGCCTCCAGAAACTTGAGGCCAGTCAGTCAGTCTCTCTATCTATCTGTCTCTCCTTAGTACTGGGGTTGGAATTCAGAACTTGAAACTATGCAGGTGCTCTACTACTTGAGTAACACTGCCAGCCCTGGAAGTCTCCTTAATATGTCAATACACCTGTTCATCCACTCCTTTCCCTTAGTCTCTTCCCTATCTCAGTCATGTACCACACAGGTTATTTAGGTGAGAGATTGACTATAAGTCATGGTGGAATTATAATGGCGCTGGGGGCATGGCTGCTACATCCCCTAGCACGCACCAGGTCCTGGGTTCAATTCCCAGCACTGCTAAAGGGGAAAAAAATAAAAGAAGACAAGTGAAGTAACTGATACACATCAATCATCCAGGTTTGTGTAAGTACAAGCTAAATGATGAATTTGCTTTGCAACCACTCAGAATGCATTCTTAATTTAATTCCCACATGAGTGCATGTGGGAAAGAATGTTCCTTGAAGCACTTATCTATAAATAACGAAAGACTACAACTGCCTCAGTAAAAATTGATGGGAGGTTGGGCACTGATGGCTCATGCCTATAATCCTAGCTACTTGGGACTCTGAGATTCTGAGGAGGTCAGTTCAAAGCCAGCCCCGGCAAGAAAGTCCATGAGACTCTTATCTCCAATGAACTACAAAAAAATCTGGAAAGTGGAGCTGTGACTCAAGTTGTAGAGTGTTAGTCTTGAGTGAAAATACTAAGAGACAGCACTCAGGCCCCAAGTTCGAGTCCTGGTACTGGCACACAAAAAAATAAATTAATTAAATTAAATCAATGTTGGGTTCCACTTCTTCCTTGAGTGTCTACCATGCTGTGTCATCCTTATGTAAGTGGGTTACCCTGTCTGGACCTCAGCTTCTTCCCTTGGAATATGAAAAGGTCAGCCCCCTACTGCGTGAGGTTGTTGTGAAGGAGCTCATTTGGTGCTTAGTAAGTGCTCATTAGGTAGCAGAGTGGGGACAAGGCAGTAATGGGGTTGGGAGAGTGGCCCAGCTACCTTTTTCCTTCTGATTAGCATTTTGCTAAGATCTGAAAGTTCATTGCTTCAGTGACAAGCTCTGGAAACTTCTCTTCCCCTCTCTTCTAGAGGGCCTTTCTATTTTTGAGTTGCTATACAGTCTCCTCACCCTAGAACAATGCAGGTTTCCTACGATCCTTCCCAGTATTGCCCTAAAAGGAAGAGAAGCCAAGGCAGGCTAGCTGGCCTACTGCTTTGCTTGGGGTGCTCAAGGAGCAGGTAGCCACTCAGCAGAGGGAAGTTTGATTCTTCCAGGAGGACGCATGCAAACCCCAGAGCCAGGAGGTGGGAAATGGACACAGTGCTGAGTTCTTCCACAGGGCCATGAGGGAGGCAGGGCCAGATTGGGGCCTTCTGTAGGAAGTGGATGGTCACATCTGGCACTGAACCTCTGCACCCCTTCCCCAGTGCCCAGCTAGTCCTGCCTCTCTCTCCTGGTTTGAAAAGACCAAGGCCCCGCCCAGACCCTCATACTTGATGGCTCTCACCCCCTAGGGCTCCCAGAAGCTACATGACAGTCCCTCTGCCTGAGTGCCTGTGGAGGTCATACTTGCAGGGTGCCTAAGCCATTGGTGAAGACTGCCAGACTACATGCCTGCTGGTGCAATGGGAAGTGAGGCAGCTCCCTTGGCCCAGCTGGGCCAGCAAGGTGCATGATGGGGGAAAACACCAGCGGCAGAAGAGAAGGCAAGTGTTGAGGGCTAAGTTCTTCCACAGCAGCAGCCATCTGGAGTGTGTGTGCTGTGAGCCAGGCCCTGGCAGATGCTGGCAGTCATTCAGGGAGCAGTGCCCAGCCCAGCCCTCTAGGGGCCAGCAAGGCTCTGACATGTTCTCACTCACCACCTAGAAGTCTCATGTGTTTCTCCCTTCTCCCTTCTCATGCTGGTATTGGGGCTTGAACTCAGTGCCAGAGCACTATCCCTTAGCTTGTTCTCTGAAGGCTGGTGTTCTACCACTTCAGCCACAGCTCCACTTTTGCCTTTTTGCTGGTTCATTAGAGATAAGAGGCTCACAGGCTTTCTTCCATTGGCTGGCTTTAAACTGTGATTCTCAGCGGCTGAGAATCACAGTAGCTAGGATTACAGGGTGGAGCCTCCGGTGCCAGGCTTCTCATATGGTTAAAGGCACTGTCTTCTCTTCATTTTCTAGTGCCTCCTGCCTGGCATGGCTCTCCATCTAGCTCGGCCCTCCCTCTCCTGTGTAATGTCATCACTTGGGGCCATATTACCCACTTGCTCCCTTCCATTTGGGATCTTGTGTGAGTCCCTCTTCTGTCAGTCTGTTCCCTAGGCAAGTGGCAGCCCTTACCCCACCCCTCCCCATGCCATCTCACACAGCTTTCCTTGCCCTGTGTCGGTCCAGCTTCATCCTTCCATTCAATCTCCACCTACCTTCCTCTCTCCACTCTTCCTACCTCAACACACATCACCTACAAGCACCTGATCACAACTTACTGGCAGCCAGCTCCTCAGCCATATGGAAGCTTCTGGAATGCATAGCCTGTATCTATAGTGCAGCTCTTACTGATGAGACCCCCTAGAGCATGTCTCAGAGCAGAACCCAAACCCTGCAAGGCCCTCAGGATTGGAGCCTGTTACCTCTCCCTCTTTGTCTCCACTCCAGCCCCTTGCTCACCCTTAGCCCTGTTCACTTATTATATCTTGGGCCGACCAGTTACTCTCCATATGGGGGTTCTACGCAGCCAGTCCCTCAACAGGAATCTCTAAAACTTCTATGACTGGCTTCTAACATGCAGGACTCAGCTTGTATCCCTTCCTCCAGATTCTTCCCTGACCATGGGTCTAATATTGACCCCACCCATCAGGTTCCCTCGCTCTCCCTTCTGCTTTCTTTCTTTCTTTTTTTGGGGGAGGGTCCGGTCGTGGGGCCTGAACTCTTGGCCTAGGCGCTGTCCCTCAGCTCTTCAGCTCAAGGCTAGCACTCTACCACTTGAGCCACAGCGCCACTTCCGGCTTTTTTCTTTTTTGCTTATGTGGTGCTGAGGAATCGAACCCAGGGCCTCAGGCATGCAAGGCAAGTGCTCTACCACTGAGCCACCTTCCCAGCCCCCCTTCTGCTTTATTTCTGGATGGAAACTTTTGTACTGGCCTCTTCATTCAATGAAATGAACTTTCTGTACCGAAAGCATGACTGCCTGCTCTTCCTAGTGACCTGAATGCTTCCCACACACAGAATAGGTATCCATAAGTTCTTATTTAATGAATGAGGGAATGTGAGTGAATGAATGAAGGAATGGGTGAGCAAATGAATGAGTGAATGAATGGATGGATGAGTAAATGAATGAGTGAATGAATAAACATGGTGAATAAATGGATAAGTGATGCTTTTCCTGTAGTACTTGTACAGCCCAGTACTAGACATCCAATCACTCTAGGTTGATAAAACAGTCATTCCCATAGGCGAATGAATTGTGTGTACATTTGGTGAGCCTACATGCTGGTGTATGCTGTAGGCATATATTAAGAGCATTGCTGCCAGTGCCAGTGGCTCACACCTGTAATCCTAGCTACTCAGGAGTCTGAGATCTGAGGATCATAGTTAGAAGCCAGGCTGGGCAGAAAGATTCATGGGACTCTTATCTCCAATCAACTACTCAGAAAAAGCTGGAGGTGGTTCTGTGGCTCCAGTGGTAGAGCGCTAGACTAGAACACAAAGAGGCTCAGGGAAAGTGCCCAGGCTCTGAGTTCAAGCCTCAGGACTAGCGAAGAAAAAAAAAGTGGGCTGGAAAGATGGCTCAGTGGTAGAGTGCTTGCCTTGCATGTATCAGGCCCTGGGTTTGATTCCTCAGCACCACATAAGCAGAAAAAGCTGGAAGTGGCGCTGTGGCTCAAGTGGTAGAGCACTAGCCTTGAGCTGAGCGCCCAGGCCCAGAGTTCAGGCCCCACAACCCACAAAAATAAAATAAAATAAAACAAAAGAGCATTGCTGTGGATGCATACAGTGAGTGAATACTAAGGGCAAAATTCACGTACTTCAGTCTCTGGAATTCACACATTCATCTGGTGACTGCAGTTCAAGCTTCACAGCTACACACCAAGAGAGGATGGAAAACTGCCCGAGGCAGAGGCAGTAGGAAGGAGGTACACTGGGAGTTCTACCGAGCAGGGCTCAGCTTCCCTTCCTCCCTGCTCCCTCTCCCTGAGGGGGTCTTTCTGCTCAGGCCTCCCTCCATGACTTGGCAAGGGACCACAGTTGAGAAGGCTTTCTACTTGGATGGGGTCCAGCCAGGCCCTTCCAATGAGGCCCCAAATAGACTGCAGCCAGGCCCTGCCTCCCCCTTGGGAAAGTGGGGTCCCAGCAAGGCAGCTGGGAAGGGACCTCTGATAAGAGACTGCGCCTTGCCAAACATTGCATCAGGCAACAAAACTCCACTCCTCTCTGCACGGGCTGAGTGCTCAGAGGGGCCAGGGCGCAGCTGTTGCAGGTTGGTGCACACAGACTTTCCCAGGCGGGGGAGGGAAAGCTGCACAGAAAGAGGGACGGAGGGCAAGAGAAGGGGGAGAGAAGGATCTGTGGGCAGAAGTGGCAACATCATATCCACCCCAGGAAGTTCTGAGCCCATCCATGGAGGCTGGAGACCCATGGCCCCAGCACTTGGGAGGGTTTTTTGTTTGTTTGTGTTTTTGTTTTTTGGTGTGAATCCCTCAATTGTGGATCAGGAAAGAAATCGAGTGAAGAAAGCCCCCAGACCACCAGCAGATCAGATAGTGAGTGGCCTGTTTCAAATGAGAAGGGCCTGTCCATCCAGTGGCCTGCTCAGGGTAAGCCCAAGGGTGCGGAGAGATGCTGGGGAAGGATG